GGCAGAAGGAGAGAAGATCGCAGTGCCGCGCGGCGCACGGTGTCCCAGATACTCAGTTAATGGGCGCTATGTCATGTGCCCGATTTCGTGGGAATGTCTCGTAATGTTATTGTGGCACGTGACTGCATGTGATCCGGCGCGAATTCGGAGGAGAATCTCCCAATCTAGCTTCGGCCTACCGGAGGAGAGTGCGCATCCACGTCTGGCACTCGCACAAGCCGCCGAGCGCCTGCGGGCGGGGGAGCGGAGTGGGGGAACCCTAAATACGTATTGGACATTGTTCAATTCTGGACGAGATGCTCCGAGTGCTCTTGCCCACTTGTTCGTGGGCGTCCGCTCGGCCTGCTGGTTGCCACTCGCCTTCAGGGACGCGCACATTGGGAACATGCGCTGCCGCTCTCCAAGCACAGCTCCCCTGCAACGGGCCAGGCGCCTCTTCTTTCGAGTTGCCGTGGTGTGAGGATGACCCTGCCCCCCCCCCCCCCCACGCCCTTGGGGCAGCAGGTGGGTGCTTACCCCTTTTTGGAGCCTTCCGGGTGTTGTTATTTCCCCGCGGCGGGCCGTCAGGTCGCGACGAGCGCTGTGTGTGTGTGTCTGTGTGTGTGCGTGTGCGTGTGCCTATGTGTGAGCGTGTCTGAAAATGGTTGGAGATTCCGCGGGCCAGAAGGCCGCGGATATTCGCGAGATAATATTCCTCAATGTCAAAGCGGGGCAGGGCATGCCCTCTTTTGTTCCATCACCCTCCCTCTGTCTCACACACATACATACACACACACACACTCACACGGGGGGAAAGGAATGAGCGGGGGATTCCCGCTCCGTTACTTTCGGGTTGATCGCGTCGGGCCTGCGCGGTGTAATACTGTGCCAGGGCCAGGGGCGGGGGGGGGGGGGACGTCTGCGGGCCTGCTGCTCGGACAAGAACAAAAATAGAGCCTGAGGGATGAGGCTGCGCCCCATACCTGTGAGGAAGTAAACATCCACCTGGCTGTCCGTCTGCCGGGGGGAGAGGGCGGCTTCTGTTGTGTCTTGCCGCCTACCTGGCTGCTGACTTTTTTTTCTCCCGCGGCAAGGCGAGCTCCTGGGTCCGAATGTTCGGCGCCCACCGGCTCTCCCTCTGCCCCCTCCTCGCCCCGGACCACAACGGGGGGACGGGGGGTGGTGGTCGGCCGGGGGGGAGGGGGAGGAGGGGGGCACGCATACCAGTCGCGCGCGCGCGCACAAGTGCACAGAGCCACAGAGGTCCCTCCGTGCTTGCCCCCAATATTTCTCCCCTCGGCGGGAATGTGCCCCTGCTTATGGGGGGGAAACACTCCCCGCGGTGAGAGGCCGACCCCGGAAGAGAGCCCTCGCTTGGCCAGGGACGAAGCGACGGAGTACACAGCACACCAGCCCCTCAAATGCATGCCCAGTCCCCTCCGCCGGCCCGGGGGCCGCTTTCGGCAGACCATACGCCCTGAGTTCGCACCTTGGCCGTCTTTCTTCCCCCCCCCTCCTTTCTCCCTCCTCTCCCCCTGCATTCTTGTCCGTCCCGCCCTCTCCTCCTCCTCCTCTCTCTCTCTCTCTCTCTCTCGCCCGCCTCGCCCGCCTCGCCTGCTTCCCTCATCCCTTCTACTCCCCTCCGTCTGCTTCCTTCTCCGCTGTCCATGTGCCCACAACATCGCGTCACTGTCATTTGCTCGCCGGTTCTCGCCGGTTCTCCCTTGCCTCTCGTCTTCTTTATCCATCTATCCGTCTCCTCCCTCCGCTCCTCCTCTCTCTCTCTCTCTCCTTCTCTTGCGGCGTTTCCCACTGCCCTACTGTCTGTCGCACAACTGACCGTGTTGTCCGTCGTCCCTCTGCGGGGCCCCACATGTGTCCTTCTTGCCTGCTTTTCTCCTCCCTTCTTCCCCTCCCCCCTGTGGCCTCTCCCACTCCCCGTCCAGTCATTAGCAATGGTGCGCCCCTGCCTTTCGTCGTTCCCCGCCACCTCTCCAACCTCCCTAACCCCACTGCCCCTCCCTGCCGCTCGGGCGTCTCACGCTGCATGTAGTCTGCCACCACCAGCGCCCTCCGTCCCTACCTGAATGCCGTCAAGGCCAGTCTCGATGCCTCCCTGTGCATTGAGAACTTCCCCTCTCAGCTGGTCGAGCGCCACAACAAGCCTGAGGTCGAGGCCCGGTGCGTGTCCCCCTCGCTTGCCCTCTACCACCTCGCGCCCCTCCATCCTCCGCTCTTGCCCGGGCCCTCCTTTTTTTACTGACCGCTCACCATCTCCCTCAACCCCCCCCCCCCTCTCTCTCTCTCTCCCCCTCTCCCCCGCTATTGCGTATCATAATGCAGCTCCTCCAAGGAGGACCTCCTGACCCCGATTGTGGTCAGCCGTAACGAGAACGAGCGCGTCCTCATCGAGAGCTCCATCAACTCCGTCCGCATCTCCATCAGCATCAAGCAGATCGATGACATCGACCGCATTCTCTGCCACAAGCTCACCCGCTTCCTGATGATGCGTGCTGAGAACTTCGTTGTCCTTCGCCGCAAGGCCATCGCCGGCTACGACATCTCCTTCCTGATCACCAACTTCCATGTCGAGCAGATGTACAAGCACAAGCTCGTGGACTTCATCATCCAGTTCATGGAGGACATCGACAAGGAGATTTCCGAGATGAAGCTTTCTCTCAACGCCCGCGCTCGTATTTGCGCTGAGGAGTTCCTCAAGCACGTATGTTGCCCCTCTCTTTCTCCCTTCCTCTCTCTCTCTCTCTCCCTCTCCAGTGGGCTTCTCCTCGTTCGCCCTCGCGTTGTCCTCCCTTTTGCGCTGCGCTGACCTCCCAGCTATTCGCCCTCCCCTCTGCCCATCCGTCCGTCTGTTCCTTTCTCCTCCGTCGCTTCCATCACAGTTCTAAGCAGTCGCTTTCCCCCTGCATCTATGGTATGTCGTGCGCGTGCGTGCGTACACATGCTCACACATGCACGCGCTCATACCCACACACTGGGGCCCCCTGTCGCCGGTTTGCTTGCGGCCCCCCCGCCTGGGCGGGAGAGACCCATAGCACGACATCTGCCCCTCTTCCGGAGTATGTGCATGTGCATGTGTATGCGGGTGCATGCGGGTGTGCGCGACTGCGCACGCGCACTCCCAGCATACCCTCCCCCTATCTCTCCCTCTATCCCCCCTCCTTCTCCTCCACATACACACACATGCACACACATGCACACAAACAAAGCCTCTCATCCCACATCGCGCATGCGAGCACTGGCTTCCTGCTCTTCTCTGCGTTCGCTCATACTGCGCCCCTTGCGCCTCTTTTCCCGCCAGTTCCCCCCGGGGGTGTGGTGTGAGCCTGCGTCAGTGCGCCTTCTCCTCCTCCTCCTCCTCCTCCTGGCGTGTGTATGTATGTTCGCTCTCCGTTTGCCACTCGGGGCGAGTGCGCATGTCCGTTCCATAGCCATGCATCCCTTTCCTCTTCAAAACAATACAATCCTCCCCAGGACACGGCTCTCCTGCTTTTTGCTCCCTTTCTTCCCATCTTCCTCCCTCTTCCTCCCTCTCTCTCTCAAGTACAAGCACACACAGTAGCCACGTATGCTGGGGCATTCATGCATAGGCCTCTCATCTTCCATAACCAGGAAGATGGAGGTGTGTGTGTGTGTGTGTGTGTGTGGGAGGAGCCTTCTCTATTGGTTTTGGGGGCTTTTTTTCCGGCATAAAGTGAAACATCAAGGACATATATGTGACAGAGGGAGGGGGGAAGAAAACAATTGGACATGCGCCCGTTCGGCCTCAGGAGGGGGCGCATCGGGAAGATGCACACACACACACACACACACACGACGCACGTAGTCGCCGGGCCAAAGGGGTGCACACGGTACTGGCCCACCTACGCACAGGCGAAGAACTCGTCATCCAGCACAGCACGGAAGGCCCGACGGTCGGCCTCATCGATGGCGAGCTGGTCAACTGGCAGGTCGGTGCAGGGCTCCTCATCGGAGGCCTCATCCTGGCAGGCATCAGCCGACTCGAACTTGCACGGGGGGAAGGGCTTCTGTAGGGTGATCCCCTCGGGGTCGAGGATGCGACGGGCAACCTCGATATCCCGGCGGATGGACTTGACAAGGGCGCGTAGCGAGGGGAACTTGCGCTCTGGGCGAATGTACCCGAGAACGGCCACGCGCAGGTGTGCGCCATAGAAAGTCCTGGAGAAGTTCCACAGAATGTGAACCTCCTACAGGGAAAGGTCGGTCAGGGCACGGATCACGCGGAGGGGGGGGGGGGGGGGGGGAACAGGGAGCGGGGAAGACGAGGGGGCATGGGCGAGGGCCATGCTCAGCATACCATCGACTTCTTCTCGTCGGCAAAATGCGGGTTCCAGCCGAGGGACATGACCATTGGCAGGGCATGCTTCGGCAGAATGTCATCGATACTTGGGGAGGGGGGCGGGGGGATGGAGGAGTCTTGTTCGACCGGCGAATCTGGCCGGCTCACCAAGGCATAGCCGAAGTACACTCCAGTCGGCAGGTGGTGTGCCGCGGCGTTGGAGATATTCTCAGGCAGGTTGGCTTAATGGGGGCAGGGGGGGGGGGGGACGGGCCGCCGGATGTTAGTGAACGAGTGCCGCCGTGTGCAGACATGTGCGCATGCGAAAGGCCGGCATACCAGTCGGAATGCCCAGCTGGCTGCTACCGCGGCCGAACCCATGCACAATGCGGCCCTGAGCAAAGACCGGTCCCCCGGGCAGGGGAACGTAGCCCTTGACCGGATCCTCGAGGAGGCAGATGCCGGAGGGAGCACAGACGGAGGTGTCCTGGGCTGGCTCGATGACCGTGTCGGCCTCCGCGCCGGCGGAGCGGAGCGCCGGGATGTGGTTGTCGTGAATCTTGGAGGAGCCCATGGCTGGGGCAGGGGGACAGCGGAAGATGGGGACAGGGGGGGGGGGGGGGGGGGGCATCAGTTAGGATGTCTGGGGATGGGTGGCTGGGCTGGACGCGGAGAGGAGGGAGGAGCGGGGGCGAGGGAGAGGCGCCATACCTGGGGGAGGGGCGGCGGATGGGATGGAGGTGTGGGCAGGAGATGAAGGGACAGGCGGTGGGAGAGGCTGGGAGTGGAGCGGGTTGACAGGAAAGGCATCTGACTGTGGGCGGCTCGCTGGCCCATCTGTTCGATCGTCTCTTGTCTCTGGATGGAGAGGCGGCGGGCTACAGGATAGGGTGGCAGGATGGGGGGGG